CCTTCTTTGAGGTCCCCAGAGCCTAGGGTTAGGTGTCCTTGTCCAGGTGTTCTTGTCCGAACCCTGAACTCACTCTGCCAAAGCACCGAGACTGAATCGCTTTTGCTTGGCTAGCTCTCAGTCTCTCCCATTGTCAAGATGATGGTCCTTAAGGATGGGACTTGCCTGTCTCTCCATTGCTCAACATGATATCTCAAGACATCAGATACTGGCTGTCCAGTAGTGAATGAACAGGCCAATTGACAGATGGGAAGGCAAAGAAGAGAAAACATATATGTATATATGACTTTCCCAGGGATGAGAGACAGAGCCATCAAACACCACTCAGATATATTTATCCATGGCTCCTAACGCAGTAGTGCCTCTTTAACTGGCACCAGGGGAAGGCAGTGTGCTATATAAGAGGATTTTCCAGAAACTGAATTTGACCCATGTACCCAAACTATTTCTTTCTATCATGTGGAGGGAGAAAGAGGTCGATCATACATATCAGGAGCTCAAGTTCTATAGTCAGAGTGATAGAACTCAGGTCTCAGCTTTGTTTCATGCTGGTCCCCAGTCTGTACCCTACCTCGTGTGATGAGGAGTCAACACCAGGAAACATCCTTGGCACAGTGTATGACTCTGAGTAAATGCTCAAATGTCAGCTCTTAGTGACTGTTCCCACAGGAATTATGTTCACCATCGCTTTCCTAAAGTGAAGGATCCTGCACACAGACCACCTACTCTGAAACAAAAATGTCAAGGTGGTGAGTGTCTATGATTTGGCCCTAATTCTGCTTTGGAGCAGTCTCATTTCTTCCCTTCTGTTTACCATATCTGACAATGCCTGCTCCACTCCTGCCCCTTTGTGATTTGCCTTTTTGCTAGGTAGCTAATTCACACAGCAGATTAAAAATTACATATTAAATAAAACTCAAGACTAGAAAAGCATCTAGATTTAGTGGTAGGATTTTGTTACAATGGAGTCCAAGAACTCAGAGCCTTAACTACTTTCAGAGATTGACAAACTGCACTGGAGGTTGCTAAAAGCTTGATAGGCAAACAGCTAAAGTATTGTTGAATCAGTAAACATGTTCTAGTCAATTGGATTAGACTTTAGAAAACTAGAGCCTGAAGGAGTGTCAAATGTTGTGGAGTCTAAACCATGTTTTACAGATGAGAAAACTCCCAGGGGAGGTGTGGGATTTGCTCTAGGTCATACAAGTTCTCTGTAATAATTAAGTCAAAAAGAGAATCCTCCAGGTCATCTGGCATCTTTAGACTAGTGCTTTTTCTACAGAACCAAGTTATCTCTTCTGATTGGATATTTATTATGTTTATTATGCTAGATATTGAAAGAAATGACTTATTACTACTGATTATATTTCTCAATATAACCACATTGTATTTCTCAGTATTAACCAGTGATTCCTTTCCCCCACACACCTTGGGCCTGTAGTATCAGTCTCTCTTTCTCAATCTTTCTCTCTCTCTGTCTTTCTCTCTCTTCCTCCTTCTCCCTCTCTTTCTCTCTCCTTTTCTCCCTCCCTCTCTCTTTTCTTGCTGTACTTCAGGTTTAGATAAAAGGAGGAGACAACTTGAAAGTCTAATGCTGAGCGACTTTGTGAGCCAAAGTCTACTAGAGTAAATCCAGGTCTGGCTACCTCTAAACCATGCTCTTTTAAGAAGCAGTAGGGAAATACACCATCTTAGTCTTAAAAGAGGAAGTACGCAGTTTAAGAAAAGAAAAATCTGCAGAAGGGGAAAATAGGGAGATAATTTGAGAAAAGAAAAAAAAAACTGGCCTCTATGTGTCTAAGGATTTGATCATGGTTAGTTCTTCTACCCTCATCCTAACTTTCCTCCTCTACTTCTAAAGTCCTAGCAAGAAATGCCACTCATGAGGGACCCAGAGGCCCAACGGAATGTGTGCACACTGCAGATGACATGAGGGAATAGATCTTGAACATCAGATGTACATCCCACAAGATAAAATTTCATTGCAGCAAGGGGAGAGAAAAGATGCTAAAAATACCACAGAGAGTGTATTATAATATTTTAATAGGGTTTATGTGCTTCCCATATACACTTATCCCTGTAAGATGGAATGTGCATTTTGATAAATCTATATTTAACATAGAGAGGATAATATACAAGGCATGCTTACTGGAAGAAAAATCCATATCGATGGAAATCTTGAGTCTAGTAATTACAATAGACATTTAGAGACAGTTCCGATTGTGGGCTGTGAGTGGAAAGAGTGTCCTCATTAGGGTGAAAGAGAAAGTGGTATAAGTGGTTGAGGGTAAGCTATCCGAGGCAGGGGAGCAGGAGGCCCTGTAGGACCCAGCAGTCTCCATCACCTATTGTGCGTCACATGACCTTTCACCACCTATCAAGTATTTATTAACCACCTTCCATGTTCCAAACTCCCCGCTGGCTCTGCAGCACAAGCAATATCCCTATTTTTAGGAAATTTTCATTGACTCAAGCAGCCACAGTTGTTCACGAAGAAGCCAGATGATAATTTTAGATAATAATAATAAGACAGGATGATGTGGTAGAGTCTGAAGAGTATTGAGGGGAGATGATAAAGAAAGGCCTGTTTGGGGAAGTGAGATGAGTTGAAACATGATTGCAGAGAAGTAGTGATATTTGGTAAGAGGTCAGGGAATAGCACTGCAAGTAGGGAGAGAACAGTAAGTACAGAGACTGCCCCAAGTACCAATCCCTGAAGCACAGAGTGACAGACATAATGGCAAGAGCAGGGATAATAATGTGTGAGGTAGGAGAAGTCAGAGAGCCTATGTTATTTAAATTGTGTGTCATAGTCAGATATTTAGGAATTTTTCCCACGTGCAATGAGAAATCTCAAAACCATAAGAGGATTTGCACAAGGAAGCAAAACAAGGTGTTTTGAGCTTCTGGGCAGAGAATGGATCCTATTGCTAAAAGCCAAAAGCCACAGTGGAATGGGGGAGGACATAAAGAAAGGGTATAAGAGGGTGAATATGGTGGAAATATTACATACTCATGTATAAAAATGGAAAAATGGAGACCTGTTGAAACTATTCCAGGAATGGGGGAGGAGGGATAAATAAGAATAATGGAGAGGGTAAATTTAACTATGATATATTTTAAGAACTTCTGTAAATGTTGCAATGTACCCCCAGTACAACAATAATTTAAAAAGGGGAAAAAAATAAATGCCATAAATCTCAAGGCCATGACTGAGTACCACCTTCAGATGCTGGGAGGACCATGAAGTAGACTAAAATCAGGCATTCCATGAGGTTCTGGTTTCAAAGGGCAGTCAGTCAAGGGACCAAGTATTTTAAGAGGTAGTTAGTGCCCAGTAGCTATAACTATGCAAGTACACATTAGCAATATCTTGCCAGATCTCCTATAAATGGGCAGATGACTTAAGTGGTTCAGTATAAATCTTAATGAGATAATGGTCTTTCAAGCCCATTTTATCTAGGGACTGAAAGTTGGGACTCAAAACAGCTACCAGTGGTTACTTGCATTCTTTAGTGCAGCATGACCCAAAAAATTTTCAATACCATATTAAAAGAACTAACCAGATCTTTTTGGTTAATACTTTTAACATGGTATTAGAAAATCTAAATTAAATTTTATTGGTAAAATCTAGATTAAAGCTAGATGAGATTCCTCACAATCTTTTCTGTAGCTAGTGTGCAGTATGAAACTCAAGGTGAGAACAGGGTACACACCATTTCCTAAGTTTGTTTAACCAAAAATGACATTTTTCTTTTCATTACTTTTTTGAGACAGGTTCTCACTATGTAGCCAAGGCTAGCCTAAAAATCACAATCCTGCTGAGAGCTAGAATTACAGACATGTGCCACCATGCCTACCCAGACTTCTCTTTTTGAACAATCATCTTGTGAAACTAATGTTTCTTGGAACATATCTTGGACACCCCCATATACAAAGGCCATGTAGGGTCATGGAACAGGTGATATGGTAAAGAGAGAAGAGGATCTAAAAGCATTAACCTTTTTATCTTAAAAGAAAAAACATACCTGGTAATATCTAAGTCCCAGAGTTATAATAAGAACTAAACAGCCTAATATGTGCAAAAGTACAGCAAAGCATTCTACAATACTCTTAGTATTGTACTCTTAGTATTGGCCTTTGGATTAGTCCCCTTGCTGGGAAAACTCCATCCTATACCAAACAGTAAAATGAAATTTAGGAACATACTAACCTAGTGTTTGAGCTCATGCCCTTGATTTTATTAGTATTACAGTCTAACCAGCAAAGTAATAGACCACAAACTGGGATTGGCAGCTGCACTTGGATCCTATGAAATGAATCCTGTGGGGATGTTCACATAGCTAAGTTATTACTATGGCTGATACCCTGAGGGGCCAGAAAATCAGCTAGCAGATGTACAAACACAACATGAACATCAACAGAGAAATACACTTTGAGAGTAAGGGATAGGCAGGAAAAAATCAACACTTGTTTACCTAGACATATATCAGCAGTAATAGTTGGCTGAGGTCCTACTTCCTATAGCATGTTTTGATGCTTTGCTTTGAAGTGATGGGCAATGAAATGGAAAAGTCATGATAGAGTCAAAATCTGCCCAACTCAAATTTGTTCTGGATGTACTACATGAATATGTCCATTAACTTTCTTATCCTTGCTCTTTAGCCTTACTATCAAATATCCCTTTCTTACCTTAACAGGGCCATTGTAGAGACAAGGTGAAGTAATGTATGATAATGCTTTATATCCTCCTCCTCTTGGGGGAGGTTGAGTATTGAGGAGTATGGATAGATGGGGAGGGCAAATAAACAGGTAAATATGTTGGTGGGTTGAAAGCATAGGTGGATGGACTGGTTAGTTGGATGGGTATATGGCTAGATAATATATGGTGGGTGGGTGATGGTTGGATGGATTGTCTAGTAGATGGATCTAGTTTTGAGCCAATGACAATTAGTTTGCAACATCTTCTATCCATTAACCCTGCCTTTCTTCTCTTTTAGTCTGTTCCCAGTTCTCCAAAGGAGTCTATGCCATCTTTGGGCTTTATGAACGAAGGACTGTCAACATGCTGACCTCCTTCTGTGGGGCCCTCCACGTGTGCTTCATTACGCCAAGCTTTCCTGTTGATACATCCAATCAGTTTGTCCTTCAACTGCGCCCTGAACTACAGGATGCCCTCATAAGTATCATTGACCATTACAAGTGGCAGAAATTTGTCTACATTTATGATGCTGACAGGGGTAAGTCAAGGACTAGGGAAGGAAGACTGTTGAGGGATGGAAAGAAAATTACCAGCAGGAATAAGAATAATACTTCACTGCTTCCTTGAAAAGCATGGACATGATCAGAAATGTTTTATTTCTGTGGACTTATTTCTTAGTAATGAATCTCAATTTCACAGTGTGTAACCACACCCTTTGAGAGAGAAATCCTCTTAACATATCGTGTCACTCTATAGCTCACCAAGCTCTCCTGAGTCCCAAGTTCAAGGACCTCAGCCAGAGGAGTTTGGATAGACCTGGAACTGAACACTAGGTTCTCTCTTCTCTAGCCATTTGACTTTGGGAAAACTGTCTATTCCTTAGTTTTACTACTTATGTGATGAGGGTAAAATTCTCCATGCCTTCATTTTCTCATTTTTATAGTAAATATAAATACAGTCTCTATTTCATAAAGGTGTCATGAAGATTAAATGAAATAATTAGTAGAAAGTCCTGTTCATATTACTGTGCCTGCAACATAGTAGTAAATGCTCAAAATCCTCAATATATATTAGTTGCTGTTACCATCATCACCAACATCATCACACCACCATCATAACTACCACCATCAGCATCACCCCCATAATAATCATCATCAACATTATCAATCACCACACACCATCAGTATTACACCATCACCACCACATTACCACCATCATCATTACCTTAATCATCGTCACCACCACCGCTACCACCACTATCATCCCTCTCAGGTCTTGGTAATTCTGCTTTCTTTGAACTTTACATCACATTTACCAAATGTTTACCATACGTTTTTCTTCTCTGTATCTTACTCATACTATTCTCATTTTCTGGAATGTATTTCCCTTTTCAAATCTACCTATATAAGCCCTTCTCGTCTTTTTCAGCTTGCTCAAATGCCACTTTCTCTATTCCTTGACCCTCTGAATGAGAACTCTTCTTCTTTCTGACCCCTGAGGTGTTTGCTTGCTCTGGTTTGCCTTCCCCTTATATATTGCCTAGTCCTATAAGAATTTACGATATGGATGTAAGTCAGTAAATGGGACAAGGCCTAGAAGTTGACATGGAGCAGCACTGCCCTGACATGATTGCATCTGGGAAGTTTTAAAAGACCATTGGATAGGAAAGTGGCTTGTAAAAATGTTTTCTCAAGCAGATAGGCAGATGGCAAGGTGTGCAGAGTGAGAGATGGGAAGTACTCTATTTTCTTTCATTTTACATTCCCTCTCCCTGTTTGATCATTTCCCTTCTCAGACAGCAGCCACTGTGGGGGTCACCTGGAGAAGGTCTCTTTCAGGACAGTTTTGTGGCATAAAGTTGAGGCTAGAAGTGGTAAAGCCAGAAAAATATGACTTTGCTTATAGAGGAGCATCTCTGGCATTGACAGAAGAACCTAAATTCTCAAAAGGTCTCCATTTGCCTCAGAACTCAGAGCTCTGAGCTCTGCCATTTGTTAGTTGTGTGACTCTGGACCAATGACTACATTATTCTGTGCCTCAATTTCCACATCTGTAAAATAAGGATAAGAACAATACCTACCTGGGGCTGGAGGCATGGCTCAAGCAGTAGAACACTAGCCTAGCATGAAGTCTTGAGTTCAAAATCCAGTATTGCCAAAAAAGGGGTAGTACCTACCACACAGGGTTTGGCAAATTAAAGAGGAGAAATCCAGAAAAACAATACTGGACACATGGTAAATTTTCAGTAAATGTGAGACTCAAACATACCAACTGACTTGTCCTGAAAATGAAACAAAAACAGGAAAACATAACAGAATCAATCTATATATGATTCTTAGCACCAGGCACTGAATTGGTCACCATAGAAAAGACAAGTAGTGTTACTGGGAGATGGAAATTACACACACACACACACACACACACACTAAAGATATAAATTAATATATATACACACAAAAGATTAATAGTACAAGAGCAAATCACCATCTGTGACAGGTCGAACAATGACAGCTCCCAAACATATCCATTACTTAATTCCTGGAATCTGCAGATATGTTTACATTATGTGGCAAAGGGGAATTAAGGTTACAGATAGAATTAAGGTTGCTAATTAACAGACCTTTAAATAGGAAGTTCTCTTGGATCACTCTGTTGGACACAGTATACTTGCAAAGGTCCTTCACTGTGAAAGTAGAAGGTAGAAGAGTCAGTGTCACAGTGAGATAAGGAAGTCTTGGCCACCATAGTTGGCTTTGTCTTTGAGAGAAGGGCCATAAGCCAAAGGGATTCAGAAAGCTTCCAAAAGCTGTAAAGGAAAGAGAATGGATTCTCCTCTAGAACCTCCAGAAAGCAAAACAACCTTACCAACACCTTTATTTTAGCCCAGGAAGACCTATCTCAAATATCTGGCCCCTGAAAAATAAGATAGTAATTTCTCTTTTCACATTCATTTAGCCTGTTAGATATAATATTCACAGGACATAATTTTATTATAGGAATAAAAATGCTGTGGTAAAATATGCAATCAGGTTTAAAATCCTAATTAGTGATTAGAGCTTCACTAAGCACTTCTGAGGGAACTGTCTTAACTGTAAGGTTGGTGCCTCTGACAAATCCAAAGTAAACCCTCCTGTCGTCTGTGCTGACCAGAGAAAAACTACCGAGCTTCAGTTAGATCTTGACTAGTGAATAGCTCTAACATCCAAACAAAGGCCTTTTATGAGGATAAGACAAGGGGCACCAGGATACCAGGAGGTCTAGATGACCTTGCAGAAAATTGCCTGACATCAGGGTGTGGTTCAGCCACAGAAGAGACTAGAGGAGACTATATCACAGAGTCCAGGGTCTCTGGAGGAAGAGTGAAGCAATTTATTTTGGCCTGCTCCAAACTGCAAAATAGATTTAACTTGGAGGGAGTAAGAATTCTTTTAGATAAATGTACCTTTTAAAACTAAAAAAACAGTCATTTCTGTTGTGGTAGGTTTGTGGTATTATTACAACAGCAATAGGAAACTAATACACAGTATATTAGATGAAACAAAGCAGCTTTGAATAATAGCTCCCTCCACTCCTTTGACTACAAATCAGAAGAGAGAAGTGTAACACACACTTATTCAACACCTACTGCGTGACAAAGTACTAACTATTGAGGATGTAGCTAGCATTCACAAATCTTAACTGTGGTTATTAGGTGTCTGTTTAGATGTCAGAGTGACACATTTAGTAAGCAGTTACTGAATGCTCCAAACAATAATTCTCGACGTGTATAAAACACTTGCAGGTATCAGACTCACACGCACCAGACTTTCTCATTTAATATTCACAATGCAGATTGTGGGTGTTATTTACATTGTGGCTTTACCTTTGAAGAAACCAAAGTTTGAAGAGGAGAATGAGCCTGTACACAGCAATTTAGCCAGTATTTTGGAGCTGAGCCTCAGATTATGTTTTTTAATCACTAATTCTTCTGTTTAACAGTGTCCTGGGAACAGAAACACAGAATGTTTCTGTCCTGGAAACAGACTTTCATAGTGAGAGAAAACCAGAGCTGAGCTTAACTGTGGGGAAGCTCAGAGGAGAGGTAGGATTTGGGGGAGCATAGGAGATTGCCTAACAGAAGTGGGGTGGTACCTGCATACGCTGATTGTCCACCATTTTTCTGTCACACTCAACAACCCCCAGGCTTGTCCGTCCTGCAGAAAGTCCTGGACACAGCTGCAGAGAAGAACTGGCAGGTGACTGCGGTAAACATTTTGACGACCACAGAAGAAGGATACCGAATGCTATTTCAAGACCTGGAAAAGAAAAAGGAGAGGCTGGTGGTGGTGGACTGCGAATCAGAACGCCTCAATGCCATCTTGGGTCAGGTAGTGAGGCAGCAAGGGGTCTGGGTGGGGTTGAGGATAATTCAGGAAAATCTGGACACACTTCTGCCATGTGTATTAGGAAGAGGGCTCTAAAGAGGACTGTTGTCAAGATGAGACAGGAGGCCTTCCAGCTCACATTCTGTAATTACGAAAATTTAATTCCTAAATTTCATGAAGCAACAAAAACAATGAGAACCTTGATTTGGGTCTCAAAATGGTTCTCAGACTGCTCAACCAAAAACGTATCTCTAGTGTTTCCCTGTATTGTTAAAAAAGTAAATTACACTCTATCTCAGAGTGCTGTCACATTGAGAACATGGGCTGGAGAGCCAGATTCCAGCATTCAGCCCCAGGCTCTGTTATTCACTGATCGAGCATTTGGCATCTCATCCCTTTGGCCCACTGACCTGCTTTAAAGTCCAAGGAAGCAGCAGCCACTCCCTTTCTACTGTTTCTTGAACACCCTCTTGCCTCTGAGGAATCCGTTGATCGTATTTTCTATGAACAGATGTTATAACCAACAGTTTTTAGCCAGCAGTCTCGTAAGTATAGTGGCTGTGGTCTCAGAACAAAATTAAGCATGTGGCTGCCATAGACTCAGTAGGCCTCTGTGTAGATCACTTGTCTTTTTAAGTTACATTTGTGTATTCAGATGAACTAGCAAGGAAAGAGATTTGCAATCAAGTTTGAACAGTGCCATATAATAAAAGATGGCAATTTTAGGTACTTGACAACATAATAAGCTTATTAATGGCTCTCAAGACCCTGTGCTCCCCACAGGGAACCTCAGCCATCACTCAGAAGCCTCAGTAACAAAATGGGAAAGGGGTCTGAAAGTCATGGATTATTTAAGGCACTAACTATGTGTGTTCTACTTTATCAAGTGCTGATTTGGTTTTTGCTCTGGAAAAGAGAAATCAGCAAAATTATTTCTATGAAGATAGAAGTCTTGTGGGCTGGAATTAGGGATTTGAACACCATGTTTAAGTGAGGCAGTAGAAGATTACAGTTAAGAGCAGACTCTGGACTCAGGCTGGCTGGGCTCAAATCTCAGCTCTAGTACTTACCAGCCTTATGACTTTGGGCCAGATTAAATCCTTCTACATCTCAAGTTCTGACTCTGTAAAATGGTAATAAGAAGAATAACTACTGTTAGAAGGCTCTTGTAAGGATTAAAAAAATCAGTACATGAGAAGTACTCTGAAGAGAGCCTGCATCATAGTAAGTGAGGTAAACATTTGCCCATTTTTGCTATTCATAATGCCAACTAGTACTGGCTTCTTGAGTCACTTCCCTGTTTGGATATAATGAATTCATCTGCAAAATAAAAATGAAGGCCCCTGCTCTACAAAACTGGCAAAAGTGATGAGATGAGATAGGAGATGGAGAATGGGATAAGTTACAATGAGGTATTCCTAATAGAGTGATGACCTACCCTATATTGTTTCACTCTTTATTTTTTTTTTTTTGAGAACTTACAGCACACCAGACATTATACCAAGCCTTTTTCCATGCATAATCTCATTCATTCCCATATCAACTCTATAAAACAACTCCTTTTGGTTTCTCTGTATTATAGATAAAGAAAAGAGGGAATATATTTGTCAAAGGTCTTACAGCAGGGAAGAAGGGAGTCAAACCAAGCTGAGTTTGACTATTGGATCCAACACAGATTTTCTGCCTCTATGTCTATGGCTACCTACTCTGTCAGAGGGCATTTATATTTTACAAGAAAGTGCCTTGTTTTATGGGTACTTTAGATTTTAGCATATTTACATTATTTTAAAAATTATTTTGCTCTTCCATTCTGAAAAATAAGACTAACAATTTGAGAGGATCTTACAGATCATTTCATTGACTTCTTATGCTGACATTTAAATATAGGACAGCTGGTGGTCAAACAGGTTAAGTAATTTTACCTTGGGCTTAGACAACTAGTTAGTGACAATGACAGGTCTACAATTTGTATTCTGATTTATAGTCTGACACTGTTGGCATCATTCAAGACTATCCAACACTCAGGAACTGATCTTTTCACTAACCAAAAGGAGGAGACAGTGATTCCAAATTCCAAATATGTTTCTGTCTGCAGGCTTTTAAGTAGAATGTAAGCTCTATGAGAAGTGCAATTTTTGTTTTATTTTCTTCCCTGCTGTATCCCCAGGGTCTTGATCAGTGCTTGCCATCTTGCAAGTATTCAATTAATAGTTTTTGAATGAATTGAAATGATAAGGAATCAATGAAGGTTCTAAGAAAAATCTCAAGTATGAGTAGGAGCTAAATTTCTACAGGGAGCCAATGACTGAATAAGAGCCCTTCAGCTTGAAGGAGGGACCCACTGGGGGCTCACAGGGCATGTAAAGACTGAGGCTCACAGTGTAGCTTAGCAGGCTATGGGGAGGATGCTGAGTATCTACTGGAGATGATGGTAGGCAGATTAACACACAATCATGAATATCCTAGGAAACCATTCCAAAAATTTTGGGATTTATTCTGTAAACAGTGAGAAGTCAGTGAAGGTTTATGAGCAAAAAACATGGTTGTTGTAAGATTATACTTTATTCAATATATAAGACACCAAGTTATATAATACAGTCACTAAGTATAGAAAGAATTAGAGGTGAGAGTAGCACAGGACCTCTCAGGAATCATTCATCACATGTCCCTGTTTTATTGTCTTTGTGGTGCTTCTCATCTGCTAAAGTCTTATTCATTTATCTAGTTATACATTTACCATCTGGCTCCCTACTAAGATGGCAACTCAACTCATTGAGGTCTTGGACATCTTGATGCACTGGGTCAGAGCTGCATTCCCAGCACATAGGATAGTGCTTAGCATATAGTCTATGTTCGATAAGTATTTGTTGAACAGATTAACCAAATAAGGCTTTACAAAGAAGGTGGGGTTAGAACTCATCCACAAAGCATATCAGTAACCAGACAGAATAGGCGAGACTGTTCCAACACAAAGACTGAATAAAGGAAATCCAGTGGAAATTAACTTGGTATCAGTGGGGTCAGTGAGGTAATGGACCCCATGTAACGCTGTATATTTCATCTATAACATCTTTCTCAGTTTGCGTCCCCATGTGCACTTATCTGTTTACCTATTTATTATGGATGTCCTCCCATCAATCATGACCTCTAGAGGGCAACCCCTTCCATTCACCTTCCACTGTGTTGCCACCTTCAGACATAGTAAGCACCTAAGAAATATTTGTGAGAAAAGTTAGTAAAGGAGGGAAGGTAGGTCAATGGGTAGGTAAGTGAGTAGATGAAAGTAAAAGTTGCTACTAGGTTAAACTATATGAACTTGCTAATTTCTGTTGGCCAAAAATGATCTCCAACCTGTACTTCTTGCAGGAGCTATATTGTTCCATTGCCTAAATGTGGTGGGTTTTGAAAAATCTTTTATCTTTATTTATCTTTTGAAATATCTTTTATTTGCTGTTTTGTGTTTATTAGAAGCTGAATAGGTTTTTGATAAACTTATGTCATTGTTGAAGGGGCAGCAAAACATCTGACAAGAAAATGAAAAAGTAATGAAGAATTATTAATAAAACTATCATCCCAAAAGTATTTGAGCTTTGTGGTCTGGAATATCACAATCTAACACAGATTCAGAGCATTCATTAAATGTGTTTGCAGTTAATTATTTCCCACATAAAAAATGTGAATTATTATACACATACATCCAATTAAGTAGATGTCTGAATGTGGATTTTAATAACCTTGAAAATTTACTCAGTTAGAGAAGAAGCCTGACTGCTTCTCATATGTTTTATGTCTCCTTTCCACAGTGCTGGGGTATACTAACCCCAATTTGATGATGAAGGAAGGAAGGAAGGGAGGGAGAGAGGGAGGGAAGGACAGAGGGAGGAAAGAAGGAAGGAAGGAAGGAAGGAAGGAAGGAAGGAAGGAAGGAAGGAAGGAAGGAAGAGATCAAGTTAATTTCTAAACTAGCTAGGGCTAGAACCAAGGCAGTCTTAACTGTCCCTTGTTAGTGGTACATCTGACTGCCCTAGCAAACTTTTGAGTAGTCCTTTCCACAAATATTTGTCTTGCTGTTGTGATTAGGGACAGTCTATATTCATGATGGAAGGGTGTTTGAGGATCCTGGCTCTTAATGACTGAGAGCATCAGGCACCTTATAGAAAGATTCAAAAGTCAGGTCAGTGTTCTGAAATTACTACCAGCCTTGTATATAGGATTTGGGCAAATCAATTCCTCGCCTTGGGCCTCCACTTCCCATCTGTCCCATAAGAGTTGGAACTAGATGATCCCAACATTCTCTCAAACCTCCAAGTTGAGTGATCTATTAATGTCTGAGTACCCAATTGGCTTAGGAGGGAAAGCACAAAATTCAGGGGAAGAAAGAATAGCATCTGGATATGGTTCATGCAAGATGCTGAAAGTTAAGAACACAAATAGAACCATCCACCCACACATGTGACCATCCAAGCAGCAACTATTATCATGACCATGACAGGAGATCATGCATGACCATGCAACATAAGATTCCAACCCAGGGAAGACTCTCCACATACATGGAAGGCTTTACAGAAGGAATGCAGCAAGCATTTCAGCTGATCTTTAGTTTATAATAATAACTGTCTACCCCTGGAATCAAACAAGACTGAGTTCAAATCCTGCATTTGCTACTTAATAGCTGGGCAATTTAAGTAGCTTAATTAACCTCTCCATGGCTATTTCTTTTCTCTAAAGTGAGGATACTAACAATGCCATCACCATTAGATGGTTGGGATATTATAGTTTATGCACTTAGCTGTTGTTGGAGCTGTTATTGTTAGCAAGACTGGTAAGCCCCTCCCATTGTGTTTTGTAGATTATAAAGCTGGAGAAGAACGGCATTGGCTATCACTACATCCTCGCAAATCTGGTGAGTAGAGCACTGCAAACCATTAACTCAGGCCTTTGCCTTGTCTGGGGTCCTTGCTTGCTTCCATGGTGCCTGCCTGGTGTGAATTGTTTAGGTGAAAGACAAAATTAACAGCTGTAATACCAAGTCTTGGAAATACTTAATTTACCTTTCTCCCTCCATATCTAACTCAAACCATAGCACACTGTCTATGAATTTCTAACCATCCTTGGGAGAGAGTAAGCAGGAGAGCATCCTTACCCTCCCTTTAATCAACTCTACCCCTTGGAAAAAAGGACAAAATCACATCTTTGAATGGATACAAGATGTATTGATCCCACTGTTGTTGGTCCTCTATTTTGAACTCAATAGGTTTACTGTTCATAAATACAAACATTTAAATCACAATTGTACTAATATTGACAGATCCTTAAGCAGAAATCATCTTCTAATATGAACAATATAATGATGGTTTAGATTTTATCATTTTCTGTATAGCATACATAAGCCTGTCTTTTTAAAAACTGTTTTCATAACATTTTTTAAAAATAACTGCAGCTATTTTTACTGAGTGTGATTATTTTCTATGTCACCAAGAAGACTTGATTCATCAGATCTTTCTTTTTTTTTTTTTGCATATCATTTTGCTTAGCAGTTACAATGTGTCATTATGAGTTTTTTTTTTTTTCTGTGATCGTTATTTTGGTCAAGTCAGTTTTTCCTGTGCTGTGGTATGAACATTTACCTTTTATATCATGAAGTTTGATTCTCCCAGCTCTTTTTTCCAAAGTCAAATGTAATTTTATTTTGTATTTTGTCCCATTTTTAAATGCTTTATTAAGATGTAATTCACATTTCATGCCATATCATTTACCAATTTATAGCATACAATTTAGTGATTCTGGATATTCACACAGCTATGAAACCATTGCCACATCTTATTGAAATTTTTCACCACTCCCAAAACCCATACCCATTAGCAGTCACTGCCTATCACCCTTAAGGCTCCCCCAGGCCTAGGCAACCACTTATCTATGTTCTATCACTCTGTATTTACTACCTATTTTATTGCCCAATAACATTCCATTATATAGAGAAGCCTATAGATATGCCATAGTTTGTTTATCTGCTAAACAGTGATGGACATTTGGGTTGTTATCACTGGTTATAAGAAATAATGCTGCTGTGAACGTGAGTGTGCAAGCTTTTCTCCTGAGAATATACCTAGAAGCTGAATCTCTGGGTTGTATGTTAAACTCTTTTTAACACTTTGAGGAACTCCAAAATTATTTTCCAAAGTGGCTGCAGCTCCTATCAAATTTTAACTGACAACAAATTTTGTCATGTATCAGTTTCTCTTAATGCTGGCTTTTCCTACAAAATATTTTACTGTGTCTTTTTTATTTTTCCTTTTTTCATTAAGATGTGATTTTTAGCTTCTTATCTACAAAACATTTTCAGGAAATTAAGTTTGCTTAACTGAATATAGAGTCATGCTCAGTTTTAACCATGTTATTTTGTTTTGATTATTTCTATAGATGATGTTAATTATTAATTAAACAAAAGAGTGGTATTTTGTACTTACTTTTAGAGCAAATGTCATTAATTGAATTGAGGCACAAGATCTAGCACCTGGGTCCGAAAACAGGACACAAACATTCTGCCTAATCCTTAAATTCTGCCCTCCTTTCTGACTGGTCACCAGCATAGATTGGTCCTGGCCTTGCTCTCCTTTTTCCTCCAAAATTTGTTTGTTTTGCCTGTTTTAATTTTTCTGGGTCAAAACTATAAATAAGAGAGGCTGTTTGAGAGAGGTCAGTTTACACCAACTGTCAAAGGCTAAATCTGTTACCTTTTTCAGAGACATTTGCATTTTAAATGAGTAGTGGCTGCTTAGAGCCTTTTGAGAAAACAAAGGCTTAGCCTCCAAAAGATCATTTGCAAAAATGGTCAAGGAAAGCCCTTGGCATCCTCAAATCTCAGATCTTTAGTGCTAGAAGGGACTTTGGAAGTCAAATCCACCTAAGTCTCATTTACTTGTGGGAAACACAACCAGCAAAGGAGTGTGACTTAGCCAGTGCCACACAGCCAGTTGGCAATGCTTTGAGCCAAGCATCAAGGTTAGCATCCATTGCCTTTTTCACACTCCGGGACACTCAGTGAGGTCTGTCGGCACCCTTCTGCTTGGGAATGCACAGAACAATGATAGGAGCATGCATAATTACCTCTTTTGGGGGAGATAGAAATTATGCATCAATGGCCTCATGGCCACTGAAAGACCCAAGTAATTACATCACCAGCCTCCATCTGTTGCCCAGTGATGCCTTCAGTCACAGTATTCCCAAGTCAGCCCCTTGGGTTGCTACATCCTTCTGATCTGCATTTTTCTTCTTCTGACCTAATGAGTTCTCAAATCCTTACAACTGCCAGCTAATAGGATGCAAATTTCATATACCATCCAAATACAAAAGACTTGCATGTTCCAATAGATTAGTTGATAATTAGGCTTCAAATTACTAATTAATTCAGTTTGAAACACAGTTGAGTATGTGGTATGTTTTCTTCCCTTCAGAGGAATAATGCAATTTATAAGATCATAATTTTTAGAAATTCAGCCACATAATTAGCTTACTGCTGCATGGAACCGACCCTGGCCTTCAGTATTTGTGATTAGGGTGTAATTACAGAGTTCGGAATCAAGGAAGCCTTGGGAAGGGAAGAAACTGCAGTTCTATTTCTCAGTCCTTTCTGTCCTGTCAGAGCCTGTGAGCGTCAAAGCTGTAGTCTTCTAACAGATCACTTTGGAGGGTGCCATTGGGTTCAACTAGCCATCCCTGGAGGAATGCTGGAGAAGAAGGAAGGAGACTGACAGAGGAGATGTTTTATGGATCTGGAGTCAAAGACATCTTGTTTATGTCTCTCTCAGGCAGCTCTCTAGCCCTCAGTTTCCTCACCTGTCAAGTGGGAGCAATAGTTCCTACTCTCCCCAGTAATAGTGTCATCAGGGAAGGACCTTGGTCCCAACTATGCTGTCAAATGCCTCCATGCTTTGGAAAGTTAAAAGTACTCTGAACAGGTTGAGAATTCTTACTTTGTAGACTAAATCCACTAATCTATAGATTCACATAGTGTTTGCGTATGTGTAGGCGCCAAAGTGACCACGCGGAGAGGAGTGATCTGGCCAAGAGAGTCTTTATTGCTGGGTGGGAGAGGGAGAGAGCCAAGGTGGGGAGCAGGGGCTTAAATACCCCTCAGTGAGACTGGGCATGATCTGATTGGGTAGGATCTTATGGTTCATGCTGATTGGAGGTTGAGGCAGAAGGAGAATTCAAACTAGACTTGAGGCAGGACTGTGACCCTGGGAAACAGAAACTTAAGGGTGCAGTAAGAACCGAAACCTATCGGCGCCATTATTGCCAACATTCCTCCCATTTTTGTTTGTTAAGGAAGGGAGGCATTGTGTTCACTCTGGCTTCTTTGGCTGGCAAGGGGCGGCGTAGGGGAAGACAGGGTTAGTTGGCAAACAATGTTGGGGTGGTGAGCCTCATGATGGTGTACACCCAGGCTCCGAAAATGAAAATTTCTTCTTTCCTGAAGTTGATGAAGGTCTCTTGCAACCATAGGTCATAAAGAGTCTCGAGACAATCCTCCGACCTCTGCATGGTGGGTATCAGCCAACTATCCTCGTGAAGGGAGTCAAGGAATTGTAGCAGGAGTCCTGTAAGGGGGTCTTGATGTTTAAAACCCAGTGCCCCAGTAGGATTCATTATAGGTGTCCTCTGGTTGTGCTGTTGTTAGGACCTGGAATCCTATTCCCCCGAGAGACAGAGAGCCAGGCGTGAATGCAATCTACAAAGCAGAGTTTATTGGGCTGGCTAGCCAGGGTCGAGCTCCCACACGGACACGCAGGACCGGTTAGGAAAAACACAACCCTGAGCCTCTTTAGGGGAAATCTTATATAGACCGCGGTGGCGTGCATATTTTTGTTATCAACATTGGGCAAGCAGGCAGAGCACATCTTGCGTGTACCTCACATCTTGCATGTACCTCCCGCTCACATTCCCCACATTCTATATGCCCTAACCAAGCCCTGCCACATTGCTTATCTTATCTACACGGGGTGTTTGGTACTGGTTTCTCCAACAAGGGGGTTGGGGCCCGCTGAGACCTCCTATTCCTTTCATTCCCCCCTTTTCTTATGGCCTAAATTGAGGAATCATTCTCAAGGGGATGAAGAGCCTGATATTGTTGGCGGAGGACCAGAAGTTGGATAGTATTAATTCGACTTTTGACAAAAGTCATAAGTCGGTTTAGAATCCAGGGTCCTATGGTAACAAGTAATAGGATGATTATTATTGGCCCTGACAGTGCAGATAAAAGGGTAGCCAACCATGGGGACTGGTTAAACCAAGACTCGAACCAGCTTTCCCCGGCCTCTTTTTCTCGTTTTCTTTGTTCCAGGCTCTTTCGAAGTTTAGACATGGAGTCACGAACAACTCCGGTATGGTCAGCGTAAAAACAACATTCTTCCCCTAGAGCAACACATAGTCCCCCCTTTTGGAGGAACAACAAGTCCAGACCTCGTCGGTTTTGAAGTACTACCTCAGACAGAGAAGTGAGGGATTTTTCTAGGTGGCTAATGGAGGTTTCTATTCTCTCTATATCTTCGTCTATGGCTGCACGCAGCGAAGACATCCCTTTCTGCTGGGTGGCCAAAGAAGCTATGCCGGTTCCTGCTCCCGCTAACCCTAGGCTGAGTAGGGTAGCAATAGTTACTGTGGAAATAGGTTCTCTCTTTTTCCTTTTTTCAACCATTTTTGTATTCCAGTATGAATATAGACTCTCTTCCGAATGATAGAGGATGCGGGGCAGCACAGTCACTATAACACAGAATTCTTTAGAGCTGTTAAACACCTTAGTTGATAGGCACGGGGTGAGTCCGGACCGCGAGCATAGCCACCACCCATTGTCCTTTGGAATTACCCATTTAATAGCATTTTCCCAGGTAGAACTGGCGTTAA